AGTAGTTTTAGTTTTCTTTAACCGGCCGCCAAGCAGCTGGTGAGTGGAATGAACGATACTCCGCCTTTCCCACCCTTCTCTTTATAAACACAGGAAGTGCTTTCTGATTTATGAGTGGAGAGCAAAAGATGGCTTCTCTCGCGACTTTCCAATTCTAAACGAACAAACTGCAATAATTCGTCAACATAAAAAAGGATGACGAATCCGTTTTATGATTGAATTCTAAGGTTATATCAGACGGCAGAGTTTCATTATGGCTGGAATCAACATATAAACTGTATTTATCCGGTGTACTTCTAATGATTTCAAGCTGCGTATTTGAATTTTCGATAGTGTCACAAAGTTTGCGAAGTTTTTACAGTGTCACTGGATTTGGTTACTGGGGTAAGATTCAGGAGTTTTTGCATGTGTGAGTTTATAATTATATCTTTTCTGCCAAACCTGTTTTTAAGTATTTCGACAACTTCATCGTAATTTGGTTCCGAAATGCAAAAACCTTCTATCGCGTTTGCGGCGTTGCCGCATAAGTACGATTTTAAATAATTAAATTTTTCGATCTTTGTTAAAGATTCATTATCATGGATTGCTACCTTGAAAGAGTTCCAAAAACTTGTCCACTGGGTGTAATCTCCATAGAATTTAGCGATGGTTAATTTTGGCAGACGCGTACATTTATTGCTTTCGATTTTAGAATTAGTTTCGTTAAGAGAGTTTTCATTATCCGAATTTGTTACTTTATTCAATTCTTTCAATTTTTTATTTACTCTGAATTGCCATAACTGAATTTTCTCTTCGTATTCGATACAAGATAGAATTTCTGCTTCAAAGTCTTCTGCCTCTGATTTCCAGTCACGCTCTATCTGAACATCTAACTCACTCAGAGCTTTTGATTTCGTGATTAATTGATCTAAATTTTCTTCTAATGTACTTGTATCAATTTCTTCTTTATTCAACTCCGATTCGATTTTTTTTAGAATCTTGGACACGGTGGTCCTGATAACTTTGCGTTTCGATTTAATTTAACAACAGACTCTTCCGCCATAGTTACTCTACAAATTAGAAAGTTTAGCCTTACCTTTTTTGCCGACTTCGCACACTTGCAACGTGCTAAATCCAATTCTTGACGGCCTAATGCACCAGCTGTTTCAAAATACTCTAAGATCTATAAATCGACATCAATCACTTTTTAAATGTAACTTTTAATATGTACAATATTTACAGATCATAGATCAAACATGGTGGTTCAGTTGACAAATAAATCTATATGCCTTCATAATCGAAAATCGAAATTAAATAAGAACCGAAGTGTTCCTAATCAAATAGTGTGCGAACCATCAGACATCCATCTATCGAACTGCCGGTGGAGAGTCTATCGAAATTCAGAAGGCACGTCGCGTCTCGTTAACACGCAATGCTAGCGCCATCTATCAATTAATCAAAATAATTTCCACATATGGAGCATAAAAATGCAGCAGGTCAAATACTGATTCACAAAGAGGCATCAACTCCTTTGGAATTCTGCAGGAATGAGTGGCACAAACTTGGTGGGATCTTTTACTGAGCAAAGATATGCTGAGAATCATATGATTAAGCAAATTATATCACTCTAACCATTTAACCTTTATGTCCGAGATTACTTTATTTTGTAAAAAAGAGTTTGTAACTTTTTTATTGTATTTCTTTATGCATGAGAAACATCTCACATTAAACTTACAAAAATGTTAAGTTTTTCACTAATTTTTTTTTTTTTTTTTTAATTTAAAGTTGGGGCTTAAAAGTCCCATTGGGACATTATTTAGTGAGTTTATTGATGGGACCTTAAAGTCCCATAGGGAAATAAAGGGTTAAAACAACTTTCAAATTAGATTTAAAATTTAGGATTTCATAAAATTTTAGGATAACTAATTAATTCTGTTAAAGATGTTATAAATGCAACAAGAATTGACATAAGTTCTGCAGTAAATTTGCAGGAATACAATTTTGAAGAGTAAAACAGAACCTTCTTCTAATAATTCTATTCCTTATTTTACATCTCATATGGCTCATAATTTTATTCATTAGCTTTAAGTAAAAATAGCAATAAGTAAAAATAACATCTAATTATTAGACTATGTTCACATTTTGTTTCTTTTTAATAGTTTCTTAGTTCTAACAGCTGCTTGATTTCTGAATTTTGGTTTAATTCTCTTAGGCTCAAAAGATTATCCATTCATTCTTGAATATGAAATAAAACAGTAGAGCAGAGCATCCAAAATTCGGTGATAAAATATTCAAAGAGAAGCTAAAAAGTTTCAAGTTGAATTCTAATAATGATTGTAATTTTACAAGCTAGAGAATCTCTCTAAATATTCTCTTTATTATGATTATTATTATTCATAAAACATTTGCTTATATGCTCACAAAACATAGCCATTATGTATTTCCTTATAAATTAAACAGTAATGAAATGTTACATAGGTGCTACTTTGGTAGACGGTTGCACGGATTTTTGGCCATTTACTATGGCGTAATTGTTAGCGCTGTTTTTACAATTGTCAGACATCTTGAAAAACGCTGTTTTTACGTAATTTTACGCATAGTATATCGAATTAAAAACCATCATACCAACGTTTAAAAGAATTAAAATATTACTTAAATCCAAATACTTTAAAATAAGCAAATAAGAACGCTTAGTGCACTAGACCTAAAATGATAGCAATTAGTTTATTGCCGCTAAAAAACAAGGGATGTCTCATACTTTTTTTACCGCTACAACGGTTATCTCTTCCACCATGACCACAATACCATATACGGCCATCCTCAGAATTGGCTCTTCTAACGATCTTTATCTGTGATCCACATTTCTTGCACTTCACTGAAGAAGCAATTAGCGAGGTTTCCTCCAAAAATTTTAAATAAATTTCCTCTAACCCTTGTAGCAATTTATAAATAAATCTTTAATTAGCCAGGTTGGCCAAAATAAGGTCTCTACGGAACAATTTTTTTTATTCCGATACCAATAATTCTTGGTATTACCAATAACAACATTAATCTTTGAAAGGCACATATCCATTTCCTATGAAATCTAAGGAATTCGAAGAGATGGAATAATAAAATTTTAAAATGGCGCGATAATGCACAAATATTCAGTAACCAATCAGGGAGCTGATTACAGCTGGTTAATGCACAAATATTCTGTAACGATTTAGGAGCTGATTACATGATGCCTAGAATTAAAATTACTTAAATAATCAAACATAATAAAATCATTCTCCGATAAAAAATGCAAAATTAAATTATATTTTAATATTTAACAGCCATAAATAATGTTTAATACATTAGATTAAATTTAAAGATATTAAAACCAATTACTTTTAAAGCAAGGTGACATCACTGATTAAATCATCCACAACATAAATTATACAAAATATCATAAACAATAAAATTTTTATTTCAAATAAAAATGCAAAATTAAATTGATTTTTAATATTTAGAAGCCATAAATAATATTTAAAACATGGAATTTATGCATAATAAAACACATTATTTTTTAAATAAAATGACAACAAAGTATCGGTTACCATAAATAACTTGTCCAGCAATGGGTTTACCATAAGTCGTATCGCTCGCCAAAAAAAAAAAAAAAATCGCCAAAATCCGTGCAACCGTCTACCAAAGTAGCACCTATGTAACCTCTAAACTTATACAGTCAAAAGTCGTTAAATAGGACACCCATAATCCGGAATGATCTATAATCCGGACATCAAAGCTAAAATCTTTCTGCGCATGTGCCACATTGACGCATGCGCATAGGCGTTTTACGCGTGCGCGCAAAACATTTACAACTGCGCATATGCCACTGCGACGTTTTCGCGTGCGCGTTTAATGTATAACGGACGGTATAAGCTAAAATTATCTAATTATCTATTTCAGTTAATGTTGATGATTGCGTTGTTCCTTAATCTTCGAATTGGATCCGGCTTATTATTTTTTTGCAGACTGTAAGAGGCAATTTTATAAAAGTAAGCTTGAACTTTCGATTATGTCAAATAGAATTTCCGATGCTGGAGCTCCCAAAGGATCTAGAAAACGAAAGTATGCTTCGATGTCCATCAAACAAAAAACGAATTGCTACAAAAAATGGATAAAGGCATATCCTTTGTTTATCTAACCGTTCCGAAATCTGTTTATCAATTTCACGCTGCTCTGCGCGGAGGGAGGGGGACGTTGTGGCGCACAATGAACTGGAAGTTGATCTGTCAGCACTATCGTTATCTTCAGGGCAGATGTTTTTATTTTATTCGGCTTATAATTCCTTACTATATGTAGTATTTAATTTCGATGTACTCCGTCTTTGATATGATTTAAATCAAATTCCTCGTCATTATAAATATCACGAATACAATCAAATAGTTTTCTGGTTGCAATTTTCTAATTTCGGCTATGCATAAGGTATGCTTTACGCATGCGCACGTTGAAAGAAATGTTTAAAGTAAACAAATAAATATTAAGCTTCTTTTTTTTGTAAATTTTGATACCCTTTAGATCATAATTGCTCATTATTTTATAAATTACGGTTTCATATTTTTAATTTTATAATTTCTGCATGCCATCTTACCAGATTTAAACTGATGATCTATAATCCGGAATCGCCGAAGTCCCAACGAGTCCGGATTAAAGACTTTTGACTGTATATAAATTCTTAAACTGAAATTATCATACGGACTAATTTTTTGTGACTGCAAAATTAGACAGTGTATATTATGAAATAAAAACTCCCAAGTGTTGAGAAAAATAGTAGAAATATTGTATACATATAAACAAGAACTCAAAGCAAAATTTGAATAAAACTGCAGAAATCATAAATTTTGAGAACTCCTATAATAGAACACGAATATAGTTTGGTCCAAACTTAAATCTACTTAAATAAGATTTTGCATTAATAACTTCTAAATTTTATCTCCTTAGGGCTAGATTAGACACAGGAGGTAAAATGTTTATGGAATTCATATAATACTCACAAGAGGAGGAAGAATTGGCTTTCCAAAACTTCTGATACAAGAAGAAAAAGATGAAAATTCTTCAAGCTTTAAAAAGCTCTCACAGCTAGAAACTGGAATTAAAACACTATCTTTAATGAAATAATTATACATAAACACATGAGAAAATATTACAGCAGCAAGTGATGCATGTAAGTTAAACTACACTTAACAGTGAATGCTACGTAAATGAGAATAATCATGTAACATACATCATTATGATAAAGCATAATTCATAAATTATCCATGACAGTACCTGCATTAAATAAAGTAGTAGCGGTTACACTAAAATGCATTACATATTGTACTATTAAACAAAATAATATATAATGGTACACTCTTTCTTATTTATAAAATTTAAGGATTCCCACATTTTACACCAATCTGCACAAAAAACAATCGAGATGTAACGAAATACAATTCTCGTGTTATACAGTATAATATCTAAAAACATAAAAAAGCTGCAGATCTTTTCAGAAGACCTACAGCTCCAACAAATTCACTTAATGTTAACTGATAGATTTTAAGAGTAAATACCTAATTTAAATGTAAAATATGTATGTAATAAATAATTTTTGCAGTTATAAAACATTATTCTTCTTCTTCCATAAAAAAATTGCCAAAATTGTACCAAGGTAAAAGCAATAATAGGTAAATATCTTTTGAAGTAAGTCTCCTCTTTAAAAAATTGTTTACATTCACTGCTTAAAGCAATTTATTTTTATATTTCTAATAATTTAAATGAAAATCAGAAGTAAAACTAAAATTTAAAAAAAAAAAAAACTACAGTTATTTAAAATATCAGAAACCAGTTTATTCAAAATAAAGTTAGAATAAAAACATCATCTGTTAACTATATTAACCTTTAACTGATATAGCGAAAAATTTATGTGTAAAGATATCTGCATTGCAGCGTTATATAAGACCTTATCATAGGGTCCAGTCATTTATTCGTAAATGCTTTTCATGTGTTACGCAGGAGCAGTACAGACAACCATAGCCATGGATACAACACATTTTATTTTTGGAATAAAAATAGAAATAACAAATGGGAAAATAAAAAAAGAAAAAATAATCGGATGAAAACCCACTTATAAGAAAAAGAAAATAACTAATGAAATCTATTATAAAACCAGCGAGGGTATATTGGGAGAAAAATACGCTAGTAAATACGTTAATTCACAGCAAATCAAAACAGTACAAAATTTAAGGTCTGTACAATCAAATGAATTTGAAAACTATTCATTTTTATTCACTTTCATACAATATGCTGGACAGTCTTCGGTACTGTGCAACCGTCTACCAAAGTGGCACAAGTACACAAACATCTAACACAACTTCTAGACTTAATATAATCAGTAAAATGACATTCGGTCGAGAAACTCCGAAATTTTATTTTTAGTTTCCTGTTGCTTAAACTTTTTACAATTTGCCAACTATACGAAACATAACTACACTTTCGTTAATCTGATGTAAAAAAAACTAAAAAGTTTACCATTTAAATTCATCATTTCGTACATTCGTGTAAACAAACCTAACTCTCTTCACTCTTTTTCCGTTACCTTAGAAACAAAAGCAAAACAGCATTGGATTTAACTGTTGCCGTATAGCTGGTTTGAAATTCTAAAAAAAAAAAGATATTTTTTAAACGAAAAGCAAATTTTTCAATGAAGAATTTTATATTAACAATAGCATATTAAATAGCTTCTACTTGCAGTATGCAAGCATTCAGTAAATGACTATGAGAAATTTATACAGAAAGTAAATTTCTAAGGTTAAAGTAACATCTAATTAGCGTAACATTAGTTTCGGAATATAATTAACTGTATGATTCACTGACTTTTTTGAAATTTTCTTTATTTTCTCGCGCCTTAATCAAAAGCGTATGTTTAAGGTGCCGGATATTTATAGCATTATAAAAATTAATTACCTGTTTGTTGTAAATCAGCGGTATATGTAAACTAGCACATATCTTTTAATGCTACATGCAAATGAACTATGTCAACAAACATATCCCCAAAATTTTCTGCATATTTGGGTAATTATAAGCATTGAATATATATAATTATATATATATATATATTAATTGATCAAATAGTGAACTGTGCTGCAAAGATACTATTTCATTTGGCTCTAGTGCAGAACTGCATGGCCTTCGATTGGCGACAAATTTTGTTCAGTTTTGATAATGAAACCCTATTTCTGGTTATCATGATAGTTTTAACTTCCTTATCTTTTTTTAATGAAAACAGATCGATGTGTACATGGACAAACTCAAGGCAGTGTGCAATGCCGAGTTTGTGCAATTCTCTGATGTTTTTTTAAGTGAAAATAGATTGATGTGTACATGGGCATCGAGTTTGTGCAATTCTTTGACTTATTATTTTGGGTTTGTGTAGCGGCCATCTTGAAATTGTGCCTTCCTGTCGCCGATATTGGCATAAAAAAAGTATCGCATCCAATTGTAAACTTTTACTGTTCATTTTCATTTTTCTTCCTCTCATCAACCTTTTGCATTACATAGGCAACCTTTTGCATACATGTTTAACAAGTAATTTTATTAGAACTGTTTAGTCTGTTGCCAATAAAAGGCCAGACGTGGCTAGCAGTTATCTTTTTTTGAATGTTGTATTATTATGCTGTCCTTCATACAGACTGTTTATTGCAGAATTCGAAATTTGGTACTGTTCCGTTAGAGCGGCGTCGGTTAAAAATTCGCCACTTTTTTGGCTGCCAATTCTCGCGAAGTATTAAATTATATAAAATAACAACAGAGTTCAAAAGAATAAAAAAAATTTATTCTGTAAAAAGTAAATTTTTTTAATATTTCTTAATTCTTAAAGAAAGTAAATTTTTCTTTTTAATTTTTTTAACTTAGAATATTCTACATATAAATAAAAAATATCAAAACAAAATGAAATACAATCTAAACAGATGGCATAAAATTACGAATATCATTCAATATTGAAAAAAAATTTCTGAGTTATTGAATATAGTCGACGCCACATAAATTCTATTAAATATAATTCTAAATAGTGAGGAGCAGTGCCACACTGACGTTTATTTCTCCATTTAGCACTGCCCTGTAATTGCTCTATAGTTTTGGCATCAATTTCTACAAAATTATATTTGTAGAAATTGATGCCAAAACTTTGTGATTCGCGGTAAAATGTTCATAGACAGCATTTCTTAGTTCTTCTGAAAAAGTAATGCTGCCATCCGCAATGTTTTCTTGAATGGAGTCATCAATGTCATAGCACAAGGATCAGGAATGGTGACTAGAAAACATGCTTTGCTTTCCTGAAATGAACCCCTGAATATGTATTGTTCTAGAAGAATGCGTCCAGCAATGTTTTTCCTTATTGTAAAAAGACTCGTCTGTTTCTACGATTTTGTTGGTTCCACGGATTTTAATTCTTTTACGAGACATCAAACTATTTGCACATACCACCTTGTAGTTATTCTAATCTACTGTCGTATTATGGCTCATTTCTAATTGAAGTTCACAAAATTCAGTCGATGTCAGTTCTTGACCTTGACACCACAGACAGATGAAATGAATGACATTGAGGAAAGTAAGACACGAGCCTTCAAACCATGTTTTCGTTCTCGATCCTTTTTTTTTTACAGCAAGAACATATATCTTAAGCCATGATATTTTAAATTTAAATAAAAAATATTTAAAATAACTAGCAACGATATTTCAGAAGAAAAATAGAATTCTCAAACCATGATATTTCAAATGTTAAATTCTCGAGCCAAGATATTTGCCGTGGTTATTGGCACATTTTAAACTAATGCCACTCTAATGGAATTGTACCCAAAATTTTTCATATTCCACTTTCTCATAATACTTACATACATAAATTTTTGAAATCGAGTACAATGAGCAATGTCATTGGATGAAATAAACAGTGAACTTTAAATAAATATTTGAAGATTCTGGATTCTTTTTGTTGCAGTTTTGTTTGGAAAAGATTTTTGCTATTATTTAGAAGGTATAAAAAAAGAATTTTGGGCTACAGTACATGAATGAAGGGTTAGTTGCATTAAATTATTCATTTCCATCATAAGAATGATATGTATCTTGTGTAGTAAATAGACAGTTTTTTTTTTTTTTTTTAATCAGTTTTTTTTTTTTTTTTTTTTTAAAGCAGTAGCTTAGTGAGGAGGAGAAAATCTATCTCTGGGTGCACATCCAATTGCACCAAATTGTTGTTGCAAAATTTAAAAATGAAATACTGTCCATTTTTGGCAAACAACAAGGGACATAAAATTTTGATTTGTCCCTGGGTGCTGAAAAGCTAGCTACAGCTTTGTAAGAAAAGAAAGGACAAAGTATTTTACTAACTCTTTACTGCTACTGAAATTTTCTCAGACTGAATTGGAAGCTTGGGTAAAAATTTACAATTGGGTGCTCCTTGTTTTTTGGCGATTCTCTTTTGACACCAAGATCGGCGCCAGGAAGGCACAAGTTCAAGATGGCCGCTACACAAAACCAAAATAAGAAATCAAAGAATTGCACAAACTTTGTGTCCATGTACGCATCGATCTGTTTTCATTTAAAAAAAAAAAATCCTAGAATTGCACACTGTCTTAAATTTGCCCATGTACGCATCAATCTATTTTCATTTCAATAAAATCAGGAAGTTAAAACTATCATGGTAACCAGAAATGAGGTTTCATCGCCGAAATTTCAAAAAAATTGTCACTAATAGAAGGGGCACCCAGTTCTACACTAGAGCCGAAGTTTGTTTTACTTTCATCTTACAATTCAGCAGAACAGTGGCTACTCCACCATGAATTCGTTCTGTTAAGTAATTAATGTGCTATGAATTTATGAGAATTGCATAATTAAACTTTATTCAACGTTATGTGAATAAAATTGATATTTCTAACAGTTTTTTTAATATATATATATAATCCAATGAACGTAATAGTTAAAGAAACTAATAATTTCTATGTACAAAAGATGAGTGAAAATCCATCTTCATCAAAAATCAACATACTCCAGTAGATGTACCTAAAATAAGGGGATTTCTAGGATTAATTATTCTGCTGAGATTGAATTAGCAACTAGATTATCACACACTGTCTTCTTTCTGAATCATTTATGTTATAATATTTAATCATATATTTTTTTATTTTTTATGTATATATATTTAGTTTTTTACAACATTTCATCAAGTTTTTTACATTTCATTAGGATCAGTCAAATAGTTTATTTTTAGATTTTAATTAATTTCTTTTCAGAATCTGTTGATATTCTGTATTTATGATCATATTACTGTTAGATACCATTAGAGAAAAAAATCAAAACAATTCATAAAAAATGTTAATGATTTTTTTACAAGTTAGGCTTAGCGACACGGAATACTCCATCTTTTGAGATCAAATGTTTTGTTCACAGATGGTACTACTGCAACAACACACGGTCTGCAAGTGGAGTTGCACTAAGCGGCATGCCATCATATAAGAGGATTAACTGCTGATGCATGATATAGCCATCATTAAGGAGTTAACCGTGTCCTGGTGGCTGGGACCACATGCTCACTACATTAAATAAGGCTCAAATAAATTTATTTTACTATGGAAATTTAAAATTTGCTCCTTAATGTGAAAACAGGAAGTAGCAGTCCCTTTCGATTTGTTTTTCTGATCAATGCTAATGGAAAAGTTGATTAAATAGCTTTAGTACTTAAAAAATTAGTCTCTATAGCCCGTGCGAAAAATATTAATATGTCAATAAAAACTAATAAAATACCATGGTGATTGTGTATAAGCATAGCTTTAGAAAATCAAAAACAAACTTAAAAGAATTCTATGAAGGAGAAAATCATAAGCTTCTTAAAAATTTATTATTATGTAGATGCCCTAAAATGTGATTTTGTATTAAAGTAACTAGTGCTGTTATTGTGTTTATATTTTATTATGATGCGCTAAATAATTTGCAGGTACTTGCATGTTATCTCAACCACCTTGGTAGAAGTCGCCATATTTTTAGAATGTGCAAAACTTAATAGCAGTCCTTCAGTCAAACAATTTCTGTATTTTTGTATGCACTCTTTTTGATGTATTCCAGATTCCAACCTTTTTTTATAAACAAATCATGACATATTTTGTCTTAAACTCTATTTTAAAACATGTACTTGTGGAATTTGCCAGCAATGGAAGAAACTGCAGCAAAATTTCTGCAAGACTACAGAACTTTACCTCTAAATAGTCTCTAAAGAGAATGATGAGAAGATATGTTTGGTACTTAGGCGGTGTTGCTGAATCTCTGCAATTATCCGATGTTTTTTATGTGAATATAGATCGTTGTGTACTTCGAAAAAAGTGAAAACATTACCGAAAGATTTTGAGAAAAAATGTTTCATTTTTTTAATGTATCACATAATCCTTATTTAATAATTAAAATCTGTGTTTTTAGTTGCTAAAGTATGCTTACATATGTTGATAATGTCTGCCAACTTACAAGAAATATTGTTAGTTTAGTTTAGTGTTACATTTTTCTGAAAAAAGTTCACGAAAATCATAACTTGTACCCAATATTTTACCTTTCTGTGTGTAAAAAATCGTCACATTGCACAGAGGTGGTTGCATTAATATGCAAGTATCCTAAATTATATAACTTGAAATCCCTAACTTTTTTTCTTCTTTATTTTAAAATTTTATTAACACTAGAAACACCAGAGCAGTCATTTCACCGTGGATTCCTCAAAAACCCTTTGTCTTGAAAAGTCACAAATTTTTGGATTTTACTGAAAAACCTTGAAAATTATTGGTACCAAATATGAATCGAATAAAATTAAAATTAACGAAGGTATTGGTTCTACCTAAAAGCGCCACGAGCAGTCACATTGACTGCTAGTAATACTAAAAAGCGCCCGGAAACAGAGGCAGTTATGAACAATGAAAAATTCAACAATATCTGTAGAAGAGCTTGATACTTTTATTGCTATAATTTATGCTGGAGGAGTATGTGGTTGCAATGATATGGATTATGATTTGTTGTGTAATAAGACATGGGGTCCTCCTTTTTTTCGAGAAACAATGTCTCACAGTCGGTTTCGAAATATTATGAAATATCTAAGATTTGATTTGAAGTCAGCTACAACTCAGCATTTAGAAAGTCATATGTTTGCACCTTTTTTCAGGTATTTGGAATAAATTTATACAGAAGTATGCAATTTCCTGTAAGCCAGGAGAAAATCTAGCTGTGGATGAGCAGTTATTTCCATCCAGATGTAAGTTTTATACAGTACATGCCGAATAAACCAGACAAATTCGGTATCAAAGTTTGGATGCTAATCAATGTAGACTCGAAGTTTATGTGTAATGCTTTTCCATACCTTGGAAAAGATACATCGAGATGTGAAATTGAAGGTCTTGAAAATGTAGTAATGTGTCTTCTAAGCCATTATCTGAATTCAGGTAGAAATTTGATTGCGGACAATTATTTTTTCTCATTATCACAATCTAAAAGACTTAAGATGAAAAAGACAAGTTTTATGGCATAGTAAGAAGACATTGCAAAGAAATTCCGCATGAAGTAAGAAAATGAAAAACCTGACTATTTGAAACAGTTTTCTAAAGAATGGTGAAACTACACTGATGGTCTGTTAGGGAAAAAGGAATAAAAATGTCCTACTAGTAAGTATATTACATTCAAGTGTAAATGTAGACTCACAAAAATAAGAAGTAACTTCCAGAAACAGTAGAGTTCTACAACAAAACCAAATGTGAAGTTGATATCCTTGACCAGATGACACGTAAATATTCTGTTTGGGCTGCTTCATGTAGATGGCCTGCGCATGTTTTCTGTAATAAGCTGGATTTAGTAGGAATGAATGCCTACGTTATCTACCATAAATTGAGTGATAAAAATATTACGAGGCACAGCTTGCTATTTCAATTGGCAGAGGAGTTAAGAGAGCTTCATTTAAAAAGAAGAAAAAGCACAAGGAAATTTCCAACTCTAGGAATAAAAAAGAAGTCTCGAAGAAAAGACAGTGCCAGATTGGACTTTGTAACAGCAACAAAACAAGTGATGTGTGTAAAAAATGTTCATATTATGTGTGTGAAAAATGCACTTTCAGTACTGAAAAAGTTATGTTGTATAAAAATTGCAAAATGCTGTAAAATGCGTTTTATTAAGGGTAAGTTGAAATTTATTAAAAAAATACCTATTTTTTATAAAATAATCTGTTGTTCTTTAAAGAAGTTCTTAAGCATATATAATTAATATTCTTAACCCGTTCATGATGGGCACCTCTGCTACCGAAGCGTTCTCTTGGAACGGCGCGTTAACCGAATACGTTGTCTTGTGGGGACGGACAAGTCGCGCTGCTAAGTCTAACTTTGGAAAAAGATTTGTCATCCAGTTGTTCCAATTTTTGGTACTTTATGAGAAGAACATTCAGGTAATTGTCAGAATTAATTTTAAACCTTTATTGTTATAATTTCCCTAAAGATTTTATAAAATACTCATTCTAGAATAATATAATTTTTCCTTTATCCCACAATTAAATATATATGGAAAAATATCCAAACAATCGCAGATTTTATTTAACACAACACATAATTAAAATTAAAAAATATTAAAACTGTCTTTCATAAAAATTCAATGTGCAAACAACGAAAAGGAAGCAATATTTCAAGAAGAGACAGTGTATGATATTCTTTGAAACATGGGTGTACGCAAAGTCCAACTTTGCAAATGTCACAGGACTAGAATATCAGCAAATTTGACTCATTTAGCATTTGTGTATCTTCTACGGTCAGATAGCACTTTCCGTTTTTTGCCATTAAAAAAAAAGGGTAGAACACCAGCAATAGAAGCATTAAAAAGTAAACTTTCGTTAATCCATACAAAATATTCGTCTCAATGCCGGAAAAATCTTAAGAGTAATTAAAAAAATGTCTGTAAGTGATAAGAACATCTACTCCACTATGCAGAGATAAAAAAAATAAAAAATAGAATTAAATTAAATTAAATTAAGAAGTAGTATTCTAGAGCGTCGAGAACATGTTCATTTGTTTATATGAAATGACGCAGTAAGAGCCATTACGTTATTCAACACTAACGCATTATTAGCATTTGTGTATATTCTTCTATGTTCAGATACCTATATCGCAAAAATAAAAAGTGTCTCAAAGCATCGAGAACACATGCATTTGTTTATATCAAATGACGCAGTTAAAGAGACATTACATTGCTCAACACCCACCCATAAATCTCCCTCTCATTCTGAAACAAAATACCAAAAATATTGCATAGGAATGAAGGTACACATAACTTAACTTTCAATATATTTCTCCATAACAGACGTACAGCTACATCTAGTGGCAACAAAAAATACTAATTAAACGTTCTGTCTACAAAGTGAAATGTGGTAGGCCCGGTCATACAGTGAATTAAATGGCGATTCAAATATGGAATACCCGGCCCTGAGGTAATGTTCGCTGCTGATGCACATATGACACGCTCGTACTGAACAGGTTAAAAGCATTATAAAGTACTTACGTTTTAGTGTATACATTTAATTCGCCGAGCAGTCACTTTGACTGCCATTGGCGCTTCTAGGCACGGAGAAAATAATCTGTTGTTCTTTAAAGAAGTTCTTAAGCATATATAATTAATATTCTTAACCCGTTCATGATGGGCACCTCTGCTACCGAAGCGTTCTCTTGGAACGGCGCGTTAACCGAATACGTTGTCTTGTGGGGACAGACAAGTCGCGCTGCTAAGTCTAACTTTGGAAAAAGATTTGTCATCCAGTTGTTCCAATTTTTGGTACTTTATGAGAAGAACATTCAGGTAATTGTCAGAATTAATTTTAAACCTTTATTGTTATAATTTCCCTAAAGATTTTATAAAATACTCATTCTAGAATAATATAATTTTTCCTTTATCCCACAATTAAATATATATGGAAAAATATCCAAACAATCGCAGATTTTATTTAACACAACACATAATTAAAATTAAAAAATATTAAAACTGTCTTTCATAAAAATTCAATGTGCAAACAACGAAAAGGAAGCAATATTTCAAGAAGAGACAGTGTATGATATTCTTTGAAACATGGGTGTACGCAAAGTCCAACTTTGCAAATGTCACAGGACTAGAATATCAGCAAATTTGACTCATTTAGCATTTGTGTATCTTCTACGGTCAGATAGCGCTTTCGTTTTGCCATTAATAAAGGTAGAACACCAGCAATAGAACATTAAAAAAAAACTTTCGATAATCCATACAAAATATTGGTCTCAATGCCGGAAAAATCTAAGATTAATTAAAAAAATGTCTATAATGATAGAACATCTACTCCACTATGCAGAGATAAAAAAATAAAAAGAAATAGAATAAATAAATTAAATTAAAAAGTATTCTAGAGCGTCGAGAACATGTTCATTTGTTTATATGAAATGACGCAGTAAGAAATACTAACGCATTATTAGCATTTGTGTATATTCTTCTATGTTCAGATACCTATATCGCAAAAATAAAAAGTGTCTCAAAGCATCGAGAACACATGCATTTGTTTATATCAAATGACGCAGTTAAAGAGACATTACATTGCTCAACACCCACCCATAAATCTCCCTCTCATTCTGAAACAAAATACCAAAAATATTGCATAGGAATGAAGGTACACATAACTTAACTTTCAATATATTTCTCCATAACAGACGTACAGCTACATCTAGTGGCAACAAAAAATACTAATTAAACGTTCTGTCTACAAAGTGAAATGTGGTAGGCCCGGTCATACAGTGAATTAAATGGCGATTCAAATATGGAATACCCGGCCCTGAGGTAATGTTCGCTGCTGATGCACATATGACACGCTCGTACTGAACAGGTTAAAAGCATTATAAAGTACTTACGTTTTAGTGTATACATTTAATTCGCCGAGCAGTCACTTTGACTGCCGTTGGCGCTTCTAGGCACGGAGAAAGCTTGGAGTTTCTAGTGTTAAAATACTAAATATCAACTTTCCAGATAGATTTCTCAAAGCTTTCTTTAAGTTGACAGATTTTTTATAATGAAATTAATTTCAGAAATGTTCAATCTGTAAGTGTTTTATGCAAGAAACATGAACTGCTATAAGAATGATTTATATTACAAAATTGGAAATTTTTGCTTCCCCCCTTTTCTTGTACTTAACATGTGTTCAAAATATGGTGATACATAAATTTTTCATTAAATTTGGACCTTGTTTTATAATATTTGTGTTGGTATCTAAAAATATTCATGTAAGATTTTTTTAATTAATTTTTTATTATGTGTAGGTAAATACAAGACTATGGATCCATCCCAAATGCAAATGCTTCTAACATGTTTTGGTATGTGGATGAACATCCAGCAACAAAAAATACAAGTTTCTTTACTACAGAAAAAGCTCAATGACATTTTAGTAGTCTATATGAAAAGAAGAAAATGCCACCTTGTAAGTTACTTTATTTTTCAGTCCTTGAGTTTTAGCTGGCAGTCGCCAGTATGTCATCTATTAACAATGTCTGACAGTAAAATGTATTTTTCACATCAGGAAATTGATTGAGCATTTTTTTTTTTTTTTTTAAATTATTATTATTATTATTATTATTTCTGGCAGGTATTGTATGGCAGTTGCATTCGAAACATGTAAAACTTTTTTATTCTTTACAACTTGTCTGCCTGCATTCATGTAAATTTTGCTAAATAAGAAGATAAGTGACCTTTTCTCACAATTTCCCTGTTCATATTCCAGGACTTTGTCGGCATTTTATTATACATTGTCCATTATGTACAATTTCATTCTGTGATTCCTTACTCAATTAAATTCTTAGTTTATTCATAATTCATTCTTTTGGTTTCAGAGAAAAAGTCGGTACTCTCCGATCCAATTAAAGCACTACTTCAGAAAGCTGTTAAATTATATGTCTTCTAATTGTTGTTTAATATTGAAAATCTTCTGAATTGCATTTGGTGACTTAGATTAGTATTCATATTTAACATTATTTTTATGTTTTGGCATTGAATCCTTCCTGGTGGAATTTATTAATGAGAAAGTAAAGAAAAGTCTTGTTATATTACACTCCTGCCTGGAAAAAAGGCAAACATGCAAAATACAGCAAAAACTAATGGATGTGCATGAAATTGATCCAAGAGGCTGGTGTGCCATTACTGGACCACAGTGAACAATAAAATAAAGACATACAAAAATGTAAATATTATGACAATAACATCAGAAAAGACCAAATGGGTCAGAAGAATCTGCATTAGAAACATAATGCTAATAATGGGTATGATACCCTGTAGTTGAAATGCGTGACTGACAATGACAAAGCAAGCTGGTAATGGTATCGTTGATCATTGGTTGTGGCAATGGTGCTCATTCCTGTAATGCATGTCGGAACTCGTAAAGGGTGCTACACTGCGACCTGCTATCTCTCATGCCATGTCTGGATTCTGGTTTGATGATCTAGCAGGCCATGGCAGATATGGAATGGTTTCACTCTTGAGATAACTCCGCAGTCTTCGAGCTCTATGCAGGTGGGCAGCATTATCGTCCATAAATATCACATCGGTACCCATTGCAGCGATAAAAAGACACATAAGAGAGTGTAGAATTTTGTTTCTGTAATGGTCTGTTTCGAAGATATTTGGCACCCAATAGCATGTCTCTGTCTCTTGCCATATCATTGCTCTTTGGGAATCATTCTGGATGTTAAATTGAGATTTATCTGTAAAGATTACATAGCCTAACTGCTCTGGTTGTCCAACTGCAATATTCATGGGCCCAATTTAATTGCACTCACACATGCTATGGAGACAAAGGAATGCAAACTAGAGGTCATCAAGGATACAGTCCACCTTCATACAGTTGACATCACACAGTTTGGTGGGATGTAGGATCAGTGGCGTAGCGAGGGGGCAAGGGGGTGTATGATGCCCCGGGTGCCGCTCACAGAGGGGCACCAAATGGTCTCCAAACAAGATTTTTCGGAAAATTTCAGTTTTTATTTCGATCAATTTCTAGAAAATATATTTAAAATTAATAATTATTGTAATATAATTATTTTCTTGATTTGTCTAATAAAATGTTTGCAGTACGTCAACCAAATATCGGGGAAAGTGCAGAATCACCCACTGTTTGGCGTGTTTTTAAGAATTGCTCATACTCGGTATCCATGTTCACATCGGCCTATTTTCACTTTAAAAAATTATGCAAAAACAAAGTTTAAAGTTATAGAAAACATTTAGGAGAAATAATTATCGTAATAGAAGCACCCTAAGATTATGTGCCGTGCAGACATAGATGACAAAAGTTTTTAAACTTAACTAGTTTATTAACAATATACAGTCAAAAGTCGTTAATCCGGACTCGTCGGGACTTCGGCGATTCCGGGTTATCGATTTTTCCGGATTATAGATCATCAGTTTAAATCTGGTAAGATGGCATGCAAAAATTACAAAATTAAAAATATGAAACCGTAATTTATGAAATAAAGAACAATTATGATCTAAAGGGTATCAAAATTTACAAAAAGAAAGAACTTAATATTTATTTGTTTACTTTATTAAACATTTCCTTCAATGTAAGTTGCTTCGTTTCATGTGATAATGCTTTCTCTTTAATTCTATTAAACAGACATAATTTCTTGTTTAGTTACAAAGTTCCGCTGTTCAAGTCCTATAATTGCTGTGTTGAGAATACCGACTAATTTGTCAATCGAAATGTTTTCGTTTTCAATAACCTCTGGGTCACTTTCTTCACTATCAGAAGCGAATTATAATGACGAGGAACTTGATTTAAATCATAATAAAGACCGAGTACATCCAGATGAAATACTAAACTTAGTACCGAATTATAATCCAAATAAAATAAAAACATCTGCTCTGAAGATAAGGATAGTGTTGACAGATCAACTTCCAATCCGCAGCGTGAAATTGATAAACAGATTTCGGATTTCAAAACATACTTTCGCTTTGTAGATACAAATTACATATTAGTAAATATATATGGGAAATTCTATTTGACATAACCTTTCTAATCTATCGTAATCTAATAATGACGTTTCTGCCCCCCCCCTCTGTCGCAGAGCAGCGTGAAATTGATAAACAGATTTCGGATTTCAAAACATACTTTCGCTTTGTAGTAAATATATATCGGAAATTCTATTTGACATAATCGAAAGTTCAAGCTTACTTTTATAAAATTGCTCTAACAGTCTGCAAAAAATAATAAGCCGGATCCAATTCGAAGATTAAAGAACAATGCAATCTGCAACATTAACTGAATTAGATAACTTTAGCTTAGCGTATAACTCCGTTACACATTAAACGCGCATGCGCACAAACATATTCGCAGCCGTGAGGGTCTTACGCGCTCTCGTAAACGCCTGTGCGCATGCGTGAACGCGACGCATGCGCAGAAAGTTTGTAGCTTTGAGGTCCGGATTATAGATCATTCCGGATTATGGGTGTCCGAATTAACGACTTTTGACTGTATATAGAAATAAAAATACAATAAATAAATTTGATCACTACCAGAAACTTAAAGAGTGTAACATAATCATTGTCAAAAATTACAGTTAGTTAACTATTCATTAACCCCAAGGGTTTTTCCTTTAAAGAATATTACATTTTTATGATACAGTAAATATGTTACCTGATCTATGAATACTGGCATTCAATATCTCACGAAAAACATATCACAGAACAAAACTGATTAATTTGAATTTCATTTGACTAAATAGGTCTATGCTTTTAGCCAAGAAGGCACCTGAAAAATTAAACCTTGAATGTACTTGAATTGGTAAATGCCTCTCGCTGCAGTTGCTCACGGGAAATCACAGCTTTGTAAAACATCTCCGCAAGACCTAAAAAACACTTGTGTCTTCAACAGTTGCTCACTGCCATCTTCAGCAGTTGCTCACTGGAAACCACAACTTGAGATTTATCGCCACTTAACCATGGAAACAGGATGCCGCCCACTGCAGTTGCTCACCAGAAATCATGACTTGAGATTTGATGCCACTTAACCTTGGAAACAGAATGCCGCCATGGCAGTTGATCACTGGGAACCACAACTTGGGATTCGATGCCGCTTAATCTTGGAAAAACCAACATGGCACGGAACCACTGTACTTATCGCTGGACGATACGCATCACAAGAACGTCTACGAATGAGCGCCGGAACAGCACACCAGGAGCAATGAAAACAGAAACAAGAAGGATTAATCCAGAGCGATGCGAGATATTTATACATGAAGTAGACATGACGTCATCTCACGGCAGCCAATCAGCTGTCGGCACAACTCAGCTTTCCAGATGACGTAACTTCGAGTTTCGTTTTTGTATCTTAATTAGGCTGGAACAGTCCGTTCTTAATAAAAACAGTGGCAGTGTAAAACGAAATAGAAATAATTACTGTATCCGTTTAAAATAAAAACTAAACGTCATGTAAAAGTTAGAATTATTTCAAGGAGGAGAGATGATGCAGAAAAAGGGTTACAATAAGTCATATTTTCAACAAAAAATATCCCAGAAGGACAAAAATAGCATTGCGCACTCCCTTGACTTTATCCATGTACACATCGACCTTTTTTCACCTAAAAAATCTAGGAAAATTGACAAAAATCCAATTCTTCTTACTCTTGTAAAAAGTGCCAAACAAATAAGTGGGCGATTCTGCACTTTACCCCAAATAGCTTCTCATACAAAACGTTCTTTCTGACCACTATTCTTTTTAACGAAATGCACATATAGCTCTTGCTTTTTATTTTAAAACGATAACACGACTTTGAGACATCATATATTCACTGCTACAAAGCAGTAAATGCGTGCCGATTGTTTTTAATCTCGTACTACAAAACTTTGTAAACATTTTAATTTTCCTTTATAATCTCTTCTATTTACTTTAGTTAAAAAAGTTGTTGATTATATGGTTATTTCATACCGAACTCATAGTATCCCTTAATTGTTTTGAGAAGTGAATATGACTGCAAGATGTTACTCCATAGTAGAAAAGAAACGGAATCTTCGACGCAGATACATTTCTGAATTCAATGATAGTGTAGTAGGTAGTGACTATTCTTAATGTATTTTAGAGTATTTTATGGCAGATTCAGCATTTTGTTATTATTTGCATTATTTTTTTATTACTAATATATTCTATACATCATATTACTGTGTTTTTTGGAGGGTGGGGGTGCCAAAAAGGTATTTTGCCACGGGCACCAGTTATGCTCGCTACCCCACTGTGTAGGTCATCCTGTAGCAGCAGAGAAATGGGATACCAGCTGCTGTGCTGTTAGTGATCTACAGCATCTTGCACATAGCAACAGGAAGCAATCCTATGCTGTTGTGGTAATCCTCCAGCATCTAGACTCATGTCTTCTGCAGATGTTTTGGTCCCTTTTGTAACAATTCCACAGCCTATTGATGACACTATGATGTATATTC